GCGCAACTTATTCCGACTATTTCCGACAGAATTCACATTCGGCAGGAAAACCGCATGCTCCGAAACCCCCAAAGCCCTGCAAAAGCAAATAGACATTTCCGCCCTGGAAGGATTTTGCGTGTAAAAGCCAACGTGGAAAGGCGCACAGGCTTGGGCTGTGGACATACAACATGGCTCTCCCGGTATAGCAAAAGGGTGGCTGCAGACTGGAGATTTGTCCATCCCTTCATCGTACCTGCTTCTCCCAGCATCATGTTCGGCTGCTTCTCAAAGCCTCACAGCTGGGCCGTGCTCTAATCTGCATTCATGCATGAAATATTACCAAAACAACACATCCACACTGGTCTAAGGCTTGAGAAGTGCAGGTAGAACCATGCTTTGCTTTTCCCTTTGCTTTTCCATAAGGAGAGCATTAGGTAAAGTACATCACAGGGCATCACACCACAAGAAGCCCCTTGAGAAGACACCGCATTGAGAGGGAACAAGGAACCGTTCAAGCACGGCACCGCTTTTTACTTGGGTTTACCTCTATTTGAGTGACTCCCACACACAGCACCTGGACTGCCAAAAAAGTTTTACCCCAGGGTTTTACTCCTGCCAACCCAACTGCCCCGAAAGCAATCCTCTGCCTCGCCATGGAGAAGTAGAGGGGTGAAAAGGCGCTAAACAAAAACATTAAAACTTTTGTTTTCATAGGAGAAACTGCAAAGTGACAGCAGTTTCAGGTTACACCCTAAACCTGTCTCGCTATGGTAGTTTTTCAAATTAAAATATTTTCTGTGGCCTCAGCCACTCTCAAGCCGTCCATAGGCAAGAAAGAAAGGAGGCAGGGCAACACTTAAGCTCAGCCATAATTGGAAGTATGTGAAAAATGAAGTGTCAGTTCGGTCAATAAAGGGCAAAGGTGAAGGGGAACTGCAGCCCAAACTCGGTGCGAAATGTGCTCATTAAGACACCCAATCCGCGGGCTCCTGCCCACCTATCCCATTAGTCATCGGCCATCTGACCGCTTCAAATGCCTCGCCTCCCCGCTCTTATTACTTTTCTTCTCCCATGTTAAAAAAAAAAGCCAAAAAAAAAAAAAAAAAGGCGAGCTGGTATATAAATCCTTGCTCAGTCATCTGGAACATAATGTGGCCCTTCTCTCCCCCTCCGCCCGGCTCTGCTGCCTGCCTTCGCAGCCTCCAAACAACCGCCTTGAGATTCCCGGCAATAATACACGCGATTGCCTTTCCGCCTATAGGTTGCCCAAACTCCTACAAAAGACTGAAAAAACCCATTGCAGCCACTGATTTTTATAGAAAAATATCGCCGCTTTCTACTCCCGGCTTGAAAGAGCAACGATTACTTGGAGGTTAAAAAAATGTTTTGAACCCAGGCCGAGGCTGGCACAAAAAAATGCGAAAGAAACAATACACACATATAGGAGACACTGATGGATTGATTTTCTTCTTCTTCTAAGCTGTGTAGGCGAGCTAAACACGGGAACTAAAAGCCCCCCACTCCAGATTAAAAGTGACTGTACAAGGGCTTTGTTCAGCATCCTCCTGACCTGACCATTTGAAAAACAAACAAAATAGATCTGTTAATACCTCAAAAAGGAATCCTTTAAAGTTAGAATATGGAATATGATGCAACTGTGTTGCCTTGATCTCAGTATCACCCACCTATACCTAAGAACTTGCTTCCCCCCCTTTTTTTTATAACAGAATTTAGCAAGTTGTTTCTCCGTTGCATAAATTCAGATCTCCCTGCACCATTTGGAGACAGACCTCCAAAGGCCCTTCACGATAAGTTCAGAGCAATGGGAAAACAGCCCACGAAACTTTTTCATAATATTATTCTGCATTCCTGTACTGTAACTATCCCCTACGACAACACAATACCGGGCCTTTATAAGAGGTTGTGTCAACGTGCTATGCAATAACATATCCTGCTGTTCAGTGGCACGAGACCCCAGAACAGCTCCCTAGCAGTTAAATATGGATTTCTGCAATAGATCGAAGCAGCTGAGAGTCATTACTACTTACTAAGTAAATGGATTTACACATTAAAAAAGACTTTGAAATGTTTACAGGACAGAGCATCTCTCCTGTTTTCAAAGGTAATAGTTCAATGTGTGTTGTGTGTAGGGACATAAATAATGAAAAACGCACTTTGTGGGGATTAAAAGCAGTGAGGAATCAGGTAAAGAAAAAGAATTTCCAAAAAGTCAAAAAATAGACCTTAACGTAACCTGGGTTAAGGACTAAGGGAGAAAACTCTTGCTACGGGGCTTAAGCTTTCCAGTCTGTGTGCCTCTCTGAAAATGCAAAGCTCACACTCGCATCCTCATGGTATCTTCACCCAGGTTAGAAACCCAGCCAAGAAGGTATCTGTACCTACCCCAACAGGGGAAGTAGGTTGTGGCAACAATCTAAAAATAGACTATTTTAGAGAGTTATATTTCTGATGATTAGATTTGGTTCTTTAAATGACAAACGCTCTCTTGACAGATGGAACCAAAAGGAACTTTTACAAACTACTAAAAATAGGGAAGCCCATAATATGCTGAATATATGTCACGCAACACATGCATCTCGAGTTAACTCCTACGTTCACAAGCATGAACGTGCAGGTCCCCAGCCTTTTGCTGCCAGCCCTCCGCGGCAGTGGCGAAACCATGAGTCTGATCACAGCATTGTCACTCCTCACATTAGGCCACAGAAGAAAAGCCTCCAAATCTTGGTATTTTGAACTTAAATGTAGTTGGGGAGAGGCAGGGTATTCGCTATCTTTTTTTACCTATTCCCTTCTGGTCATTCAGGATCATGGTTTATGACTTCTTCCCCATTTGGGAAGGCTAAGCCCAGGCTTTTTTTACACAAGGTGTATTTGCAGGCATGGCTGTGCTTAAACAACTGAGATTCTCCCATAATCTTAGCCTTCAGAGGACTTCGAGCAAACAAAACACAAAGCAAGGCTCAGCGAGACCACTGCTACCCTTCCCGCATCCCCGTTCCTCAAAAAAAATAGGCCATTTCCTGAAGGCAAGTCTCGGTAACTGAGACCCCCTGGACAGCGTCTCCTTTCCAAAACTCCTTTCTCAAACTTGACCCGAGAGCTCCAGTTAGCAAATTCCCACCATTTTTCACCCTTTCCTAAAAAGTTTTAACGAAATGATCCTTCTTCATGAAACTCATCTGTCAAGCACTGGCAGCAATTTCAGTCTCAATGAACCGTACTCTGGCATCTGGGTAAAAGTTCCAGAATCAGCTAAAGCATCACTGACAAGTCCTTCCATGGATATTTAACAGGACTCTAGCTCTAAAATCACTAGTGCCTTCCAAAAACCCTTCCTGACCGAGGCCATAGCATGCACCTTGCTAGAAGCAGACCTGGATGGCGACGATAAAACAGCAGATATGACTGGCACTCCGGACTAATAAAATGCCGCATTTAGGAGAAAATGAAGCCTGCAAATCTTAAAAAGTACACCAGGAGCTGAGAAGCTTGATTTCCAAAGGGTCCAAGAGGTTTAGGGGCATGCCGGCAAGCCTCCCTGCAGATGTTTTGTCCACGCACATATAGACACCAACACGCGCACATCCATCTGATAAAAGAACAGCCCTGTCCGAGTACAAAACCCCCCTTCAAACAGCGTGGTTTAGTTCACAGCCTATTTTTGTGGTAGCTTTTTCACCCTTCAAAAACCCATGGATTTAAAGTTTGCTCCGAAAGCAAGGGGCTCTAATGAACGTATTGACACCACTTCAACTACAGCATTGTAAACAGCACCACTAGAATATATACGTGTATACATACTTGAAAGAAAAAAAGGCCCCCTGAATTTATGTTGCATATCATTTTCCAGTAAAAGTCAGAGGTCAGAAGGTTACCAGTTTCTGCCTCAGCTCTGCAACAGTTTACTACTCCAGGCCCCATTTTTACTAGGCTATACTTGCGATGAAGTCAGCAACTTTTCTTTAAACAATAAAGTGTCTCAGATACTTAAAATTCTATAAAGAGAAGTTATTCACCATGTACGTTAGGTCCATGCGTATAAAAAATTAAAATATACTGGTTTAGTTTAAAAACTAATCTTGTTAAATGCAGACTTTGCAATGCTAATCAGTACTGTTCAACCTTTTTTTGGAAACACAATTCCTTTGTTGTCTAACAGCACTTGAATGAAACATGATCATAAAACCAGATTTAAAAGTATATACCTATTGTGAGTTCAGAGTCAACTTCAATAAAACACTCTCTTTTATATTCAGATTAAGGATCTTTTTTAAATTTTAATTGCATTAAATTAACACTAACTCCACTGCAGTTGGTCTCTTCAGAAAAAGTACGAAGCATTTAAAACAGCTTTTCAGGAAAGCCCAGAACTTCAGGTTTTTAGACTTCGGAGCTTCTGACACCGCTAATTATTCGTAGTATGTCCCACTTCAATCGCACCAAGCTCGTTTCATACTCGCCCTGCTAAATCAGTTACTCTTGTTTGTCTTGGCACTCAAACAAAACATTTTTGCATTCAAGTAAATTGCAATTGAGCAAAAAAAGTAAATAAAAGCACTGCTCAGGATTACGTAAAATAGGCCAGCTAACATCTCTTCTTTATACGCAGTGAAGTTTTGATGGCATCTTTGAAATATTAGCATGCATTTCTGCAATCTTAATTACATTTGCTTTTGAAGATTTCATCTTTTAACCCATTTGAATGACGAAAAAAATCCCCACCCTTCTCGTTGCTTATTTTTATTAAGCATCCTGCAAATTTGGTACATATGTTGCTCTAACATGTGCCTGCTGGCAAGGTCGAAGAAATAAAGATGCCAATCTTTTTACTAGGAGGAGATGGAAAAAAAAAAAGCGTCAACAAAAGGAAGATAGACCTTTCCCAGCACAAACCCCTTAGTACCTGAGCACATTTCAACATTGAAAGAGAGTAACCGGTCCCCAAGCGCATCGGGGATGGCTTGCCAGCTAAGAAAGCATGAGGGCTCCGTTCCTACCTTGCTCACTGCTGTTGTCCCCGCTGTGCGATGTGTGGCCCCCGCTGGAGGGTCCGGGGGTTCCCCCGGAGCGCGTCGATGCTGTGTCATCGTGGTCTCTGTTCCAGGAGGG